CCTCCTTGGACCTGCTTGAGATGCACCTGTGGATGCACGACAAGGTCCGGTTAGCCCTGCCAACCGTGGCTTCGCATTGTCTGCCCATGTTCATCTTGGAGTCAATAATGACTGCAAGATCCCTAGTTGGTGGGGAGGCTTATAATTTCTGTGATGGGCAGAAGCCCCTGATGCTGTGGCACATGAAATAGGCCTGTGTTGCACAGGGGCAAAGAGCGGGTGCTGGAAGGCACTGAACAGGGTCTGCCAAGGCGCTTTCTGCTGTGTTTCTCCTGCTTGCAGCTTCCATCATTTAGGGTCTAGGAATTTCTGCTGCAGAGGCTGTACGCTTAACTCTCATGCTCAATAGCTACTGGTAACCCTTTCCTCCAAGAATTGTGCAATCCCTTTGTGAATCTGGCTAAGCTCTCAGCTTCCACAACATTGCTGGCAGTGAGTTCCACACCTCAATTATGCCCTGTACGAAAAAGAACTTCCTTTTGTTGGCTTTAAACTTGCTACCTACTGGTGTATTGTATTGGGGTAGAGAGTAAATAATAAATCCCTAGTGACTTTGTCTTCCATTTAGTATTTTGTAAACCCTTCTCATGTCCCCCCTCAAGCATCTCACCTAAGCTGAACAGGCTTGGCCTCTGTAGTCTCTCCTCGTATGAAAGCCCCTCCATCTTACTCATCATTCTTGTTGCTCTTCTCTGGACCTTCTCCAGTTCTTCTGTATCCTTTTGGAGGTGTGGGGACCAGAACTGGGTAGAGTATCCAAGGTGTGAATGCACCACAGATTTATAAAGGGGCATAATGACACCTTGTTCTCAGTTTTCCTTACAGTTTCCTTCCTAATAATCCCTGACATCCTGTTTGTCTTTTTGATGTCTGCTGAGCGCTGAGCTGATGTTTTTAGCAAACTGTCCACAGTGGCTCTCCGATCTCTTTCTTGTGAAAGAGTTCTCCTCTTTTACCTGTAAGAGGGGGTAATCTCCAGTAATAAAGGCCCGTCACAGGTGGGCAAGCCAAGACATCGCAGCCTGCTCCTCTGAGCATGCAAACACGTAGAAGGCATCTGTTTGACAAAAATAGATAAGCAGACAAACTTGGCATGTCATCTGCCTCCATGAGTGCCCTGCATGCTTTCACTGCTGGGCTTCCATTGGCGGGTGGCATTGCAGGTATAATCCTGCTGAACCTGAAGCATGTGTGGCGCACCGGTTTCTCTCTGAGCCAGGTGCTTCATGCAGGTGTGTTGATGCTCGGCCCCTGGGGTCAGGTGTTCAGACAGATCACGTTCTCAGTGGCACACCAGGAACCTTGTGGAGGGCAGAAACTGTTCAGAGTCATCAGCGAAGTTGACTCGCAGTCCTGGCTCCTAGCAGGCATTACGGATAGAGTTGTAAGCCGTTTGACGAGTCGAAGCGGTCCATAAATGACAAGAAGGAAAAATGCCTCTTTGCCAGGAGTGCAGATAGGGTTATTAGCTGCTCTCTGCTGTCCTGGCAAGCACAGGCTTGCCAAGCAGGTCTTGGGTGTTAGACCACAGACTGAGAGAACAGACGGCTAAGGCGTACCTCTGGAGATGAATTTTGCAGGCAGCTTTGTCCTGTTCCCAGTGTCAGTAATCCATGAAGAAGCCACAACAGGAATTAAATCATCTCTCCTCCATTTCAAATCAGAGCGTGACAACTGTCCACTACTCCCCTTCTGATTTCTAGCCTCAGAGAGCTGGGGACAAGCAGAGCTTTGAGGTGGTGAACTGAATTTTGCAAAGTTGGTCAGGGTCTGTGTTGGTGTCTTTCCTTTTCCAGTTCCCTCCAGATGGATGGAAGAGTGTGCAGAGGGACACTGTGTGCTTGTCTGGTGACAGAAGTTGTGGCATTTAGGCCTGAATAACCTAGCATTGGTGCTGTTGCACAGAGGAGGTCTACTATTGCAAGATCAGTCCTCCTCCTGGAACCAGACAGGCTTCTAATAAATATTTGAACAAATCGTAACTGTTCTCAGGATGCATAAGAGAAGTCAGCAGGCCTCTGGTTGTGGCAGAGGCCATGGCTTAACTGCCATGCTTACCCAGGGAAACTCAGACATGAGCGCTTCAAGGAGAGATTTTTCTTAGTGTACAAGTGTGTTCAATAGAGAGAATTGTCTGTAATAAAGTGTTTTCAGCACGGTCAAGGAATGCTGCCATACACATCCCAACATGACATGCTGTCTTGGGACATCGGCCTTCATCTCGCCTTATTCTTTATACAGCAATAACTAAATTGAACTTGTGCAGAAGGCAGTGGGATGCTGCTTAGCCATTGCAGTAGACCTTCCCAGGTCTACTTCCAATTAGGTGAGGTTTTTTTAATGAGGAAAGTTCAGAGTTTTCTTCAGCAAGACCCAGTCTTGTGCTCTTTGTTTGGCTAGATACTCTTGACAGCTATCATGACATTTTTCCCCTCATACATTGAAGCAAAGTTGTTGATTCAATTAAGATCAAAGCCGAATCCTTAGGAGGACTGACAAACTGGGCAGGCAGGCCCATCTCCTGTATGGAGCTGTATGGAGACAGCGACACAGCCCTCGGCCTGGAAAGTCACCAGAAATTCACCAGACTGTGCCCACGACCATCCTGCTTCAGATGGCCCTTCATTTCCCCACGCCTTTGTGTCCCTTTGTAGGAAGGTGAAGGGGATGTTTAGACGTATCCTATCTTGTAATGAAGTCCATGGTTAAAGAAAGATTTTGCTGCTATATGTAAGAAAAGAAAGAACTGTCATGTACTGGGTCAGACCATAGGTCCACCTTGGCCAGTATCACACAATGGCAGGGACTGGGTGCTGGAAGGGAGAGTGAACAGGGTCTTTTTCCACTCTTCTTCTCCCACTTTCAGACTCTGGCATTTAGGGGCTGGGAAGTTCTGATTCAGAGGCCACGTAATCCTTTTTGAATCTTGCTAAATTCTCAGCTTCCAGCGCATCGGGTGGCAGTGCATTCCAGGCCGTGTCGGGGGGGGGGGAAAACTTCCTTTTAGTTTTTTAACTTACTACCTACTAGTTTCATTTTATGAGTGCAAGCCCCTGCCAGAGTCCTGCTGTTGTGAATATCCCATGGTAATGGATCTGTGTACCTTGCCACTGAGACTGGTTAATGTTTCCAAAAAAAATCCTCTTTCTTCAAGTACTAATGTCCACAGATCCAGCCTCGCTGGAGACAAACAAACAATCCATAGCGAAGATAGAAACTGCCAGCCAAAGTGCTGGGCTTCTCAGGTGGAGTCGCCCATGCTCTGCAAAAGACACGGATGTGCTTCTTCCTCTGAGCATGTTTAACCTGATCTGTAATGTGGGAAAGACTTGAGGCATCCAGTCTGTGGAAGGGATCTCAGCCTCAGAGAAGCTCAGGAGGTAGGGTGGTCTTCTGCCAGTGACTGGTAGCCCTGGTTCTGCCTCCAAGCCACAAGCAGGCTGAAGTACTCTGTATAATGGACCTGCTCAGAGTGTGTCAGGTAAGCAAGGTTACGGTTCCCTACTTGGCTGAGCAGGTGTTGTCTCATGGCTGCTGTCTATAGGCAGGTGTCTGTGTTGGGATATCCTGTGTATTGAGGTGGTCAGAGCTCACGTGCTGGTACTGGCAACAGGCTTGTTCTCATGTGGATCATAGAGCAGCTGCAGGGCTGTGGCCTAGGGTTTGTTCTGCATTCCCATGCACTGTTCTGGTCTCCCTTGCAGTTGCAGCTGGGGAGAGTGACTCGAGTTCAGAAGCACCGGAAGATCCTGAGGGCAGCAAGAGACCTGGCACTAGACACACTGATCATTGAGTATCGTGGGAAGGTTATGTTACGGCAGCAATTCGAGGTCAATGGGCATTTCTTCAAAAAGTAAGAGTACGATGCGGTGACCAGTGGGGCACGATTCACTGGGCACCTCGGCAGGAGCGCACCCTGCATCAGACTGTGGGTTCTACTGGGAGGGGCTGGCAGTGGTACCACGATGCAGACAGGTCTGCCCATTTCCAGAACACAAGCCTCTTTGGGCGAGGTGCCTTGTGTCATGAGCTAGGAGCTGCATCACCCCTGGATGAGCAAAGCGATGGGAAGGGGTCCTCTCTGTGCAGTGCCTATGGGTGTGGACACACAGTTCCTTTTGTCCCCTTGAAAAGAGGAAAGTTCCAGAAGGGCACGCGCTGTTACATGCGATGAGCCAAGAACAATTCAAACAAAACTGGTTCAACTTTAACACTGCTTTGTCCACGGCTAAAGCTGGAAGAGGTCCCAGTTTACCTGTGTCCACACCCTGTAAAGCAGGGGGTAGCGGCCACGGCTGCGGTGGGAATTGGGACTGAGGGGTTATGAGAATTTCTGCTGCTCCCCCAGGCCATACCCCTTCGTGCTGTTCTACTCCAAGTTCAACGGTGTTGAGATGTGTGTGGATGCCCGCACCTTTGGCAATGACGCCCGGTTCATCAGGCGTTCCTGCACACCAAATGCAGAGGTAAGCCTCCAGCTCCCCTGAGTGGAAGTGCGGGTCTGGAGTGCACAGACTTCATTGTTAGGCTTACTGGAATCACTTACACAAGCATCCGGGTTCTGAATGAATTCAACAGCCCCAAGCAGTGCCAGTAAAAGAAAAGGAGGGAGAACACCCGGCCAAGGGCTGCACTTCTCATGGCTCTTAGGCTGGAAGCAAGAAAAAAATAGGTTGGGGAATGCGGAGCCTTTCTCAGGAAGGAACAGCTCCCGCTACAGCTTCCCCCTGGCCAGGGCTTGGGAATTGGGCTAAAACAGGAAAAGGTGGAGGATAAGCGAGGTCAAGGAAAGTGGTAATTGTAGTGTGGCAGGCAGGAACTCTTCTGGGGAGGAGACCTCCACCTTCTGGACACAGATCACATCTCTTGTGAAGACGTCAGTCTCTCTCTCTCTGCTTTGTTTCTGGAGGTTCGTCATGTGATTGCTGATGGAATGATCCACCTATGCATCTATGCCGTTGCCACCATTGCCAAGGATGCAGAGGTCACCATTGCCTTTGACTACGAGTACAACATCTGGTGAGTGCCTCCTCACCCAGAAGCTCTGCACTGCTCTCTGGCCTGGATATCTTCCTCTTCCTACAGCCCCTTCCTCACTTCCTACATTTTGCTCCATTTTCTACCAAGTTGCACTTTCCTGGGTTTGTATTTCACCTGGTTCTGCTGCGGTCTTCTGCAGCAGAGGCCGGAAGGTGGCAGGGTCTCTGCTTCGGAACAAGGTGTGACCCATGGTAGGGGATACTTTGAATATCCCTGTTGGGGTATGAGAAATGGAGTGATGCTGATATGTTTGTGTCTTTGGAGCAGCAACTATAAAGTGGACTGTGCATGTCACAAGGGGAACCGGAACTGCCCGGTACAGAAGCGAAGCCCGAATGCTGCAGAACACCTACCTCCACCTGTGCTAGGCACGCTGCTTGGGGCAGAAACGCGGCGTCGGAAAGCCCGTCGGAAGGAGCTGGAGATGGAGCAGCAGGGCATCGCGTCTGATGAGAACAGCAGTCAGCAGGCCGAGGAGGTTCCTGAGGGACCCGCTGCAGCCAGCGACACTGAGGTAAATTCCCTGACGCCTTAGCGTGTCAGAGGCATGGTTGCTCCCGAGGGAGAAGTCTGGTACCAGAGGCAGAGGCCTGTCCTTATATCTTACCTTAGTGGGATACCATTTAGTGGGTAGTGGGATACCCTGTAGCTTTCATATGGCCTTATTTTCATGTTGTGGTTGTGACCGATGCTGCTTTTCAGGCTGCAGACAAGGAAGAGAAGCAAGAGGAGAAAGAGGAAGCTGCAGATGAGCAGGGAGCCTTGGCACACAGCAGACGGGCAAGTACCTCTTCCACTCTGATCTGAGTCTTGCATTTTGGTAACAGTTGGAGCAGGTCCTCCTGTGAAGATGGGTTGCTTCTCTTGTGTTGCGTTTTTGAATTTGGAGCAACCCTTGCCCACTGACAGAACCAGAAATACCCTCTGCATTCCCAGGATGCCCATGCACAACAAGCGGGGGGACTGAATTAGAGAGGCTGTTCCAGAGCTAAAACATTCCATCAGCAAACCCCTCTTATTTTTTTTAAATTCAGTTTTGTCCTGTTGTTCTTCATCTTTGGCAGGGACCGCATCCAGGCAGACCTGGATAGGTTAGAGAAGTGGGCAGATCTGAACAGGATGTGGTTCAAGGACGAGTGCAGGGTGCTGCACCTGGGGAGAGGGAACCAGCATTATGGTTATAGGTT